AATACCTCTTCATTTCTAACCTTTTCTACCCACGATATCCTCATCATCCGCCTATAACACCACATTTCGAACGCTTCTAACCTTTTCTTTTCCGCCGCTCCCACTGTCCATGTTTCGCACCCGTACAACGCCGTTTTCCATACATACACCTTTAACAACCTTTTTCGAATTTCTAAATTAACCGTTCGCGAGCATAGAAGTGACTTATTTTTATTAAAGGCGACAAACAATTTGAAATAAGCAAAGGATGTTAAATTTTAGCCAATATTTAAGACGGTATTCGATTCGTTACGAATATCCATTTGTCAAATTATTTCTGTTTCTCCCCAGATTATTCCGCTATTATTCCATTAACTTCTTCATCAGCCATTGCGCAACCGAATCTGCATAAAAAGCCGATGTTTCAGGATTTCGTCCCTCGCCTTCATTTTTCCGGGACGTGTTTATAGATCAGCTAAACAGCTTTATGATAAGAACATAACGAGAATGGAGTAGTTCGTCTCTGTTGTCCGCGTTGTGGACTGTGTGTCGCGTGGCCGACACGTGACCTAATCACGCCTGTATACGATATCATCATTGCGTTTACCCTGCCGACGCCGGACGAAGCGCCCACATAACCTACGCCGCTTTTGATCACGTCCGCCAGCCGTCACGTTGCTGACCGCGGGAAGCCGCGTACAAAATTCAATGACTCAACTAAATATGCGTTTGTAGATACGTCCGGTAATAACAATTATTTTAACAAATAGATTTTGATCTGGACTAGGCTTGTATTTAGACTAAAATTTTTGTTTGTTTGCTTATTTTGATGTAGGGTGTTAATCTCTACAAAAGTAACAAACGAATTGTAGTTATTAGGAAGCAACACTATCCTTGACTGATAAAGGCTATATTTTGATAAAGTTTAAAAACTCGATAAGTACTTGTTAATTAAACATTATGAAGAAAAAGCGCCGATTATAAATGGGGGTTGGATATACATACATATGTACGTGAAAATATTATTTAGGCATGGAGTGACTTTATCAAGGTTAACTACCCAAATTTTTTACATTTATAAATCTAACGCCATCCACAGGTAGCTAATTGGGTATAGAAGGAATGCACACGCAGATGTAATAGAAAAGCAACTGAAAGTTAAGGAACATTATCCTTGTGTTATCATTGCTTCGGCCGGACTTATCGTTCTCGAAGGCAGATACTAAATTACATTACACGAAAAAAAACGACCTTTTCTTGTCGGATGTTCGCTTGTCTTGCGAAAATTTTAAAATACAGATATACGTTCAAACACAAGGTCAACATCAACATTGAATGATTAATGTTTGTGCTTTTGTCTCTCAATTACATAATCATACAATTATTTTTACACATTATTATAAAATTTAATAACCATTTAACAATTGTCTAACAAAGTAACGAAAATATTTATCAAATTGCAAATGTTTATCATAGACAAAGTTCCGTAATTTCATTTGAACAAAAAGATTTATCAGCAAAAGAATGTTTAAGGAAGAATTGTTAAATTTTACGTTGCTTTGGTTAAGTTAAGAGTCAGCGTAGATAGGAGAAACGCGGCAGAATGAATAGTTAGTAAGCGCTCTGAAAATGTAAATCAACAGGCGAAGCAAATGAAGAGAGAGAGAGATAATAAAATGGGCATACATATATAAGGTAGCATTTGTTTCTTATTGCATAATTCATTTAATTATTCCTTTGCGGAATCGTCTAACTGAAAATTAACAGCAGAATTAGTTACAGGTCGCCGCCTTCTCACTCTGTTCCAGGAAATTGAAGTAGAAAGATGGCATATTGAGTGATAATTCCATTTTCTGCCGTTTTTTGTACCTTTTTGCCTTTAATTCTGTATTTTTTTCGTATAAACGATTCCAATTGATTCGAGTTATTAAGAGGAAGATTTCTAATACAACCGATTCGTTTGTTTTAGATTTTCGAAAGCGAATGTATTTCAACTGAATCAGAGTTATTTTGTGAAGCTTAACTAGATTAAGATCGAAAATAAAAAAACTCCGACGAATTACTTTGGAAAGAGCTCCTGAAGATATTGTCCACGCCAGTCGACGAAATATAGACCATAAGAACCCATAATCAACAATGGCCAGAAAATCAGAAATAAAAGTCAAACTTTTACCTACAAATGTTGAACTACATAGATACAACCTATATTGATAGTTTCTTCATATTCGGAAATGCAAGTAGTTAGCAATCTGAACCGATTTCCTTATTTTGGGACATATTTTCTCACCTAAAATCTTACACAGATATGCCTTTTTGAAAACCCGTTAAATGGACCTAAGCAAAAGTAGTAAAAAGGTTCAACCAAAAAAATAAACAAACATTGATTCTGATGGCTTACCTGTTTTGTCACTGAGTCGATCAGTCTTACGTAAATATCTTGTTCTTGCCTTACACCTGCAAAGAAATAGTTATCATTTGTAAAAGTATTCCTATATATTTCGTCAGAATTGCAGTAGGTAGGTATCGTTTACAAAAGCATTTTGGAAATAGAATGCATTTAGATAGATAACTATTATTAAAATATTTATGTACTCTGTTCAAACTGTTTTGAATCTGTAGCTGCATTAAAACTGTTGTGAAACAGTTATCGTTTGTAAAATTACAATTGAGAAGGTTTGGATTTATTGTGAGTAGCAGTTTCTAATATGTCACAATATTTTAAGACACAACATGTACCTCCACCCTGTAATATCCTAATGTTAGAAAATTCGAAACGTTCCTAACAGCGATCAGCGATATAGTAGTCTTTCGGTGGCAAGATACGCATGCCGGAGGGTAAGATTATGGACGTCAAAGTATTGAGATAGGGTAGGTAGGTAGTAAAAGAGGCATCAGCTTGGCGTTGGCGTATACAGTATACATGGAGAGGCCACTAAGTCCGGAATCTTCGATAAGAAATAGTCCGGGGTGAGGGAGGACGTGCGATAAAGCGAGAACAAAGAGTCGGGTGGTGACGAGGCCGGAGGGTGCGCCATCTTTGGAGTCCTGAGAGAGCATTTGCGGAGTTATTTTATTACAAATAAGGAGAGGAAGAGTGTTCCTCGGGGACGCGGCTGAGTGAGGTGTGCTATGGCAAATGAGATACAGCTCCGGTTCACTACATGTTATGCGTTTCTACATATATTTTACTGAAAATCTCTCGAGCTGCCTCGGTCATGTTTACATTTTAACGGTCTTCGTTGCAACCATAAACTATTTTACAAAATTGAGAGCAAGAGATGTAAATTCCTTCGAAAATAAAGAACGATTATTATTAGGTAACCGACGTTTATTTAACTTCATTTAGGTATATCGCCCGTGGCCTGATGGTCAGATTTCTACAATTTTCTTATGACTCCTGCGTAGAAGAAACCAATTATTTGAAATCTATGTTATTAAAAAAAGCATTATTGAAAATTCGGATAAAATGCGCTATGGCGTGAGCTAAATGTTTGTAGGACTGGCCTCAATCTATTTGGAAGTTCTAATTCACAAGTTATTGACTAACACTGCAGTCTAAAGGGCTGGAATTTTATACAAAATTGGATAAAAATTGAGTATATATTTTTGAGCTATTTGAAATCCTATACCAATAAAAAACTTTTGACTCGAATTAAGCAATTTAGGTAAAAGTTTTTAAAACATGTAACTATATATATAGTAGATATTAATTATTTACTTTAAAAATCCATTTGTGAATGTGTCGTGTAAAGATATCGAGAGTAAAAACAGCACCCGAAAACGACTTTTCCATTTACGTTGTTTCAACGAAAACGTGCACACGTTACGAATTAATTTATTCATTTGCTTGCCATTAGCAATTCATTTTATTATCATCGGCAGAGCTGAAGCGCGAAATGCGTGTAGTAGCGTTCTTTCCTTTTATACGGTCAAGAAAAACTACATTTACACTTGTCCGCCGTAAAGAGACGACTGTATAAGGACCGGTGGATATACCAACATTTGTGGCGTTCATGGAATAAAGAAGAAGAATGTCGGATTAAACGCGACTTTTAATTAGATCCGCAATTAATTAAGTGAACCGGCAAACAGGGACTTTTGCTTGTTCCCTTTTTTCTTAATATATTGTACGGTAGAAAAGACCAATTTATTGTTACACAATACCTAGTCTGTATGAACCAAACCAGAAAATAATGACAACGAGTGAGATGTTGAAAATACGATGCCCCTTAAGAACCGCGCCTGATGTAGATTGCATTGTTTTAAGTGTAGGTATTTAACTAAAGTTGAACGGAAGACATAGCTATATAGCTTTGCACGATGTATATCACATACATAATACCAGGTAGTATGGAAGATAGAAAACATGCTGAACCTATCTCTTTGAGTAACCGACGTCCACGCACGATCTCTTAATAAAGTTACTATACTTATTTTCCGAGAGATTTCTATATTCTGAAGTATATTTGACGTCGACACAACAAGCTTTTTTATACGTTCCCGTTATTGAGTAGGTACCTACTGCTGAAGATTATTATTTTTTAAAATCATTTTGGAGCCTAATAAAGTTGTAGTGGTCAAGCAACTTACCATTGGCATAAAGAAGTTGTAATCTATATTGGATACCATTATTTGTCTTTTGTCCGTCTGCTTCCTGAAAAGTAAATTAGAAGCTGTAGATACACACACCTTTCGAACAATATAAAGCTTTTGTAAACAAAAAGGTTTTCATTTTTTATTTCTTTAAAATTGTTTTGTTTCGGGAGTGTATTTTTACTTTGCCGATTACTTGACAATACACTAGACATCTCATAAAAACTAAAATAACAAACCTGATCCTTTTCAATAAATCCAATGAAGGCTGTCCTTTCAATTTCAATTGGCTGTCCGGCTCTGTCGTATAAAGCGATGACGAAATGGAAAAAGTTGGATTTCCGAAGGTTGCTCGGTGGTTGCTTTTCAAAGTGGGCCCTGCCGACACCAATTCTATAAATAAAATTCTTTATTTTCTCTAGTTGAACGATTCTTTTTCATCATCATCAACTTTAATAGAGATGCCTAAGATCATTCTTATTTCAGTTGACTCACCTAACGAAACCGCATTACATTTCTCGGCATCATCAAACAACGATAAATTATTAAAATCCCAAATTAATTAGCAGGGCGCACCTAACATTCAGTCGAGTTACCATCAGCTTTATTGCAGTTTCAAAGTTGATACCGAAAAATGAAGGCATTATCCAAACAAAAGCCTTTATCTTTAGGATACATTTATGCTGTTAGAAAAATTCCTGAGTTGAACCAAAAACCTCAGGAATTATGACATCTGCTTATGTATAATAGGATTTTTCCGAGGTCTGGTGAATGTTAAGCCCCATAAAATTTCAGATGTTATAAAAAATGAAAATGTTACCAAATGAAAATTGATTTAACTGTATCAAGTTTGTGCAGAACAATTAAAATCATATTTATGTCACTCTTCACAATAAGTCCTTCCGAAAAATGTATTAATTGTATAATAGGTAACGTTAAACAATGACAATGGAAAATACAATTTTATAAAGTTCAAATAATCACAAGCGGACAAATATACTAGCAAAACATATATGACCGTTCTCTCCACAGTTGTAACAGACTCCTGATTTTGGTTGACTCTTATAAATTGGATAAAAATTGAGTATATATTTTTGAGCTATTTGAAATCCTATACCAATAAAAAACTTTTGACTCGAATTAAGCAATTTAGGTAAAAGTTTTTAAAACATGTAACTATATATATAGTAGATATTAATTATTTACTTTAAAAATCCATTTGTGAATGTGTCGTGTAAAGATATCGAGAGTAAAAACAGCACCCGAAAACGACTTTTCCATTTACGTTGTTTCAACGAAAACGTGCACACGTTACGAATTAATTTATTCATTTGCTTGCCATTAGCAATTCATTTTATTATCATCGGCAGAGCTGAAGCGCGAAATGCGTGTAGTAGCGTTCTTTCCTTTTATACGGTCAAGAAAAACTACATTTACACTTGTCCGCCGTAAAGAGACGACTGTATAAGGACCGGTGGATATACCAACATTTGTGGCGTTCATGGAATAAAGAAGAAGAATGTCGGATTAAACGCGACTTTTAATTAGATCCGCAATTAATTAAGTGAACCGGCAAACAGGGACTTTTGCTTGTTCCCTTTTTTCTTAATATATTGTACGGTAGAAAAGACCAATTTATTGTTACACAATACCTAGTCTGTATGAACCAAACCAGAAAATAATGACAACGAGTGAGATGTTGAAAATACGATGCCCCTTAAGAACCGCGCCTGATGTAGATTGCATTGTTTTAAGTGTAGGTATTTAACTAAAGTTGAACGGAAGACATAGCTATATAGCTTTGCACGATGTATATCACATACATAATACCAGGTAGTATGGAAGATAGAAAACATGCTGAACCTATCTCTTTGAGTAACCGACGTCCACGCACGATCTCTTAATAAAGTTACTATACTTATTTTCCGAGAGATTTCTATATTCTGAAGTATATTTGACGTCGACACAACAAGCTTTTTTATACGTTCCCGTTATTGAGTAGGTACCTACTGCTGAAGATTATTATTTTTTAAAATCATTTTGGAGCCTAATAAAGTTGTAGTGGTCAAGCAACTTACCATTGGCATAAAGAAGTTGTAATCTATATTGGATACCATTATTTGTCTTTTGTCCGTCTGCTTCCTGAAAAGTAAATTAGAAGCTGTAGATACACACACCTTTCGAACAATATAAAGCTTTTGTAAACAAAAAGGTTTTCATTTTTTATTTCTTTAAAATTGTTTTGTTTCGGGAGTGTATTTTTACTTTGCCGATTACTTGACAATACACTAGACATCTCATAAAAACTAAAATAACAAACCTGATCCTTTTCAATAAATCCAATGAAGGCTGTCCTTTCAATTTCAATTGGCTGTCCGGCTCTGTCGTATAAAGCGATGACGAAATGGAAAAAGTTGGATTTCCGAAGGTTGCTCGGTGGTTGCTTTTCAAAGTGGGCCCTGCCGACACCAATTCTATAAATAAAATTCTTTATTTTCTCTAGTTGAACGATTCTTTTTCATCATCATCAACTTTAATAGAGATGCCTAAGATCATTCTTATTTCAGTTGACTCACCTAACGAAACCGCATTACATTTCTCGGCATCATCAAACAACGATAAATTATTAAAATCCCAAATTAATTAGCAGGGCGCACCTAACATTCAGTCGAGTTACCATCAGCTTTATTGCAGTTTCAAAGTTGATACCGAAAAATGAAGGCATTATCCAAACAAAAGCCTTTATCTTTAGGATACATTTATGCTGTTAGAAAAATTCCTGAGTTGAACCAAAAACCTCAGGAATTATGACATCTGCTTATGTATAATAGGATTTTTCCGAGGTCTGGTGAATGTTAAGCCCCATAAAATTTCAGATGTTATAAAAAATGAAAATGTTACCAAGTGATAAGCGTTGAAGTACTTAGTTTATTTTTGTTAATACTGTAGGCTTTTTTCCGTTGTTGTCTAGGGTGAATAAAAACGAATCCAGCTCCACTATTTTTAGAAAGTGTTTAATGAATAAAATTAAAATGTTAAACAATGACAATGGAAAATACAATTTTATAAAGTTCAAATAATCACAAGCGGACAAATATACTAGCAAAACTAAATACTAACTTTGAACGTCCCTACATGTACCTACATGTATCTCTCTTCAAACAATTTCCATGTAGGTATTGTTATCAATTCCTTTGGCCCTGTAAACTACATTGAGAAAGGTAAACATAAACTAGAATTTTACATCTCAATAGATTTTCTATTGCTGAAGTTAAACGTACCTACTAAACCTATTTTGAAATATTACTTTCACAATCACTACTCGTTAATATAATATGCAACATGAGTGAGTATATCCGAGGGATATCAACTTTTAGAATAATTAAATTTCAGATGTTGTGAAAAGTCTCCTTGAAATTCATTTTCCAACATTAGGTACGGGCAGATTTCTAAATTGTCCCTATTCTATTTCTAGTAAGAGAACAGTAGGAACGCCACTAATATCATATGCACTAAACGAACGAATGATCAAAGAATTGTGAAATCTATTGACCAAGACGATCTAACTCCCCACAAACATGAAAACTAATCTCGCCTAAGTGTGAATACACATTTTTCTTTCCCCATTCGGAATTTCTGTGCATGCATTCCCGAAATAGAGCAGGGTTTAAACGAATAGAGGTGAAACCGTATGTTGTTATTGTAAACTCTCGATCAAACTGCAAGAATGGCTGGACATTTGATTTAAATTTTTTGAATCTTTGACAGGTAGTGCCGCATAGTACGGCATTATGTAGGTACTACGGACCGTAAAATAAAAAGACCTTTCTTTGGGGTAACTTTTATAAATATAAATCCAAGTAAATTCATAGACAAGCAGAAAACAGGACACGTCATGCATAAAACGGTTGGCATTATCTGAAATTTTGATTAATAACCGCGTTATGATGAACGAACACGAAGCTTAAGAAGGCAGAGTTACCACAGGTAATTTGAACAAACAAGGAGTGTCACAGCTACGGGTAATTAACCTAGCAGTAGTAATTATCGGAATAGTCGTCCTGAAGCCACGAAACAAAACATGAGCGTACATCACCCGGTGTGGTATCGTTGCAACCCCTTCGTCGCCAACCAGTAGCCTCTATCTTGCTTGCCGCTGTTATCTATCGATGATGCGAGAGCACCAAGGCAAAATGAGAGAAAGAGAGATGAATGACTAATGAGCGCTTGACGCGTAGTTTGACTGACACTGTCGACATTGCTCAATTAATTGAGTTGAAAACGAGGCAGTTATTTGTTAACCTGACAGTTCATGAGTTCATCAACGATAACTTATTAATTTCCGGACTTACGCAAACATGGGACATGACAAAACTATGTGCTATAAATTCGTCAAATGTTCCCCTCCCTAAGTACTTTCGACAAACAAACTCGATGTTGGCATTATCCGTTTCAAAAATAAGAGAAATGTAATGGGTACAGCATACATAACTTGCAGAGTCCCCAAAGTTTTACAGTTGCTTGGGATTTAAAGTCGAGTTGAGTAGCTAGTGGCGATGGTTCATACCATAAATTCCCTGCCCTCACTAATATCGAAATACAATTAGGATTAGACCGCATAGCAAATCTTTATTTGGCAAGTATCAGCTTTCAAACAGAAAGAATTGTAATATTTGTTCTCGAAGGAGATTCAGATTAACCCTCTTCTTCATCAAAGGTGTAATGGTAAGTGTATGGTGTAAACGTTTATTTATTACCTTAATTCGGAATTAACTGTTATTTCGTTTCAAACATAACAATTTTCATTAGGCGTAACATTACGTTTGAAAACGGAGTGCAACGTAGAAAATAGTCGAGTAAAATGCGTAAATCTGGTAGTTATAGAGCGCAAATGAAGCCATTAAATCCCCTTATCGCAAGACGTATTTCACGCGGCGAATGAGTGTAGGGTGGCACCGATAAATCAAATCCGAATATTTCGTTTCAGGCGACGTATTTCAATATAATCACCCAACTATTGGCGCCTGTTAGTGTCCATTTGGTTCATTATATAGCGTACTCAATTGGCCGCATGAAATAAATGTGCTAAAAGGCTGACGTCGTTACTGGTTCCGACTCTCTTCACAGAGGAAAATCCGAATATTTGCTTCATTCGGGAACCGGAACCCTAATACGTACAATCCGCTACGCCAATGGTTACAAAGTGTACTCAACAAATCTTAAGACGGTTCGTTTGTTCATGTATTTATCCAATTACAACTTCGAGGGACGATTATTGAGGCATTTGTCGTACTTGATGTGAGCAAGCTTTGAAATATCCTGAAATATTACCATCAATGTATTTAAACGAGTTTTTTTGGCCTTGTCTGGAAACTCTTCGTCAGTGTTTGGAATCAAAAAAAAGAGGGAAAAGATCAGAATCACCCGGCGCTAAGTTGGAGAACCATTCAAAACAAAAAGGTAAATGCTGGCTTGTAGAATTGCTCTAAACCATGAAAAAACTGTGCAACGCAACCATTTGAAGAATTGACTAAGGGAGCAACGTTTCCAAACTAACGGGGAGCTTCAGGACAACATCAAGACCCATTTGTTTAAATTAACTGACGGTAACATTTTATGCGAACAGGGTATTGGAAAGCTTGTCTACCTACACGTACCTACAACATATGCGTGTTCGTCGAACTGATTATGTCGAAAAGTAAATAAAATATTTATTCATATTCATTTGACATTTATTTATGATCTATTGGAAGTTGAAACAAAGGACTTCATTTCCGAACAAATGAGTATGATAACTTACACTGTACGCCGCACTGTAATCGATACTTACGCATTCGGGTCCTGAATAGAAGTACTCATCCAGGACCGAGCGGCGGTAAGAGGTTCCTCTTTGAGACTGGGTCCCCTAGGCTGATGATGATGATGATGGTGTAAACCGGCAGTGGCATCTTGGTGATGGTGCAGTCCGAACATTAGCCCGGGTCGAGTGGGTCCACCCGAACCGGGGTACAGTTTTCGACCCCACGCGGCCGCTACAGGGTCCAGGTCGGCCGGTGCGGGAAGCGACAGGGCTGGCCACGGTGACGCCGACGGATAGCCACCCCCACCAACCCCGCGATCCGCGGAACCGCCACTATCGTCGGACCGCGTTTTGACTGCTGGTGATCAACACCGCGACGATCAGACACCCTGTAGGTATTCAGCAACGGCGCGGGTCGCGCGCACCTTTGCTCTTTGACTTAAAAATCTTTTTAGATATTCCAAATCTGAAATGGAACGGTAAAATCGCAGGTAGGTATTTATGATATGATTACCGACGCAAATTCTGCTGTTTTGGTCAAATGCAGTAATGTAAAGGAAAACGTTCATAACAAATTTGACAAAAGATCGGACACATTTTTCAAGAAACAAAAACTTAGTCAGAAGCATGTTAGTAATACCATTATATTAAGTAGTGACAAATTGAACGCATATGACTTTAGCAAACGCATGTCTGTAATACCATAATTTGTAAAATTTGTAATGTTAAAAAAATCATTCAGAAAAAGGATATTTCAAGTTAGATGAAACAAAACACTTGCGAATGAGATTGTGTTTATTAATGATGTTTAATATTCTATGATAATATTTATAAAAAATGTAATAAAAACATTTAGAAGAAATAATAATAAGAAAGGTATAATTGTATAGAAAAACATTCATACGTAAGTGGATTTTTAGTTATTTTTACAACCTTCTAATAAAACTGGTCGTCAATTACAAAAACTTGCAGGTTTTTTAATAAATGATTTGAGGGTTTTAGAAGAATTTTTGTAGTTTTCATTTTCGATTCAAAAATTACCCTGATAAATTCCGTCTAACAATAATTAGTCAATTTTTTTTTTGAAGCTTATTTGGAAAAATCTATAACGATTTTTTTACAAATACCTCTAAAAAAAATTTTATTATTTTCTAAGGATTTGCCTACAAAATATTTGAAAAAAGAGAATCAAAAGCCAAAATATGTAGTTGATAATGAGATTGTGAATGTCTCTGTCCGAACGAAGAAGCTTAATAAATTGTAATGGAACATTGGGAAACATGACGAGGAAGGAATCAGGCTTTGCTGCAAGTTTTGTTTATGCAAGTTAAATATTAAATAAAGACGTTTTCAGGCGAAAATCATACCTTTAAGTTTTGCTCATGCGTTGTTGTCTAGTGAAATGGAGTTTTTTTTCACAACAAACAGTCCCGAGAGAAAAACAAGTACCTTGGGACACCTTCACGAAAAAAACTCACGCGAGACACCGTCCTTCGAACTCGAAGAAAAGAAAGACGCAACGAGAAAGCAACAAAGACACACATTCCGCCGCCGAATCCCGACGGTGGTCCTTGCCGCAACTGGGCACAACTAGGACGCGTCAGTCTCGTCGGGTCCAAACAACTCGCTCGTAACCAACCCGACTGGGACAACTGATAAGCACCGAATGGCCGATAGATTGCGTCCTCTCGAGTCGTCCTTCGGAGGATGACTTGCCTCCTGAGGGTTGAGGCGCCACTCCTCCTGAGACCGCAGCGACGTCGGGCGTCGGAGGCGCCTACAGAGAACCGTGGGCGGTCTCTGGACTCCTGCTGCCCAATCCTAAAGCTTTTCAGATTCTCCTAAAGGCCAATGAAAGTAGTTAACGTCATGGTCTGATACACCCCGTGGTGTCGTTACCGCCAGGACAATTTGAATTTGAAAGGAGGGATGGGCCAAGCGGGTGTTAGGGACGTAAGGGAACGACAGGAATCAACGGTGCTGGTCTCTTGTGGCGATTACCCTTAACGTTTACTTAACGACGGATTGGCGGAAGCTGCGACGTTTCCAGCGTCCTTTCGACAAGGACGCCAGGATCCGGAGCTACGACGCCACCGAAACGTTCACGAATCTATTTGGAAGAGGAGCGAATTTTTGAATATGCACGCTCTTTATCGCATTTTCACACCATTGCTTATCTTGCAGGCGTCTTTTTCATGAAGACATGCTTTCGAAAATACCAGCATGTTCAAAAAATGAACGTCGTCAGCGAGAATCAGCAAACAAAACAAGAATTAATACTTGCAATACCTACATTATCACTACGAGACTTGTAGTTATGTAATTCAAACATCAAGTAAATGGAAATGGAATTCTCACTTGTGTGTTTTAAGAGACACTAGATAATATTAATGAAATACTTCTTTATCTTTTTGAATTACAAGTTTTAATAGTGTAGATACGTATTTAGGAACAGAATATTTCTATGTAAAAGATCTTAAGACTGTTAAAAGCTTATACTGAATATATTTTGAGGTTTACTGATTTTAAGGCAGTTATTTTAAAGTAAAATTCCTCTTTCAATTCTGCTTCTGTTACAGACGTGATGAAAAAATGTTGTCAATCGAGGAAAACCCTAGCATTCAGTAAGCTCCTAATGTTTTGGTATGCTCACATAAATTTAAAATGGATTAATTATTTACTTCTTTAACGGCCGCATGGTTTAGCGAAAGAAAAAAAATACTGAAGCGAAATGGGACCGTATTGAGATGATTAACTTATTTTTTTTTTTTAAAAGGGAAGTTCCTCTGTTGTTTCAATAGTACGTGCATGTAGCTGGTGTATTGATTTTGTCGTTGTTCAATAAGTTTTCGGAAATTGTAACTACTGAATCAGTTTTTTGTGCTTGATGTAGTATCTAGTACCTACAAAAGTGGCAATAGTAGCTGCTTCGGAGTAAAAACCTTCGACATCCTTGCGAATCGTTAAAAGAAAGCGAAGTAATAAAATCTGGCTGGCTCTAGCAGAACGTCGTGCTCTGCATCGGGAATTTAAGAAGCGTTAAGTCCAATCTTCTTTATTAGACCCCATCCACGTTCTACCCTCTTGAAATGCTCCGTTAATTTCTTACAACCAACAAGAAGAATTTTTATTAGAATTACAAATTTCTTTAAATTAACCTCTACCGAACGTCAGAGACGTTTCACATTTCAATCGTTCGTGCAATTAGATTAACGAAACTATGGTGCCTAGGTACATATATCTAAGACTTATTGAGGTTCAATTTTGGGGATGAAATACTAACCAAAAGTAATTTAGATAAGATTATTTGATTTATGTAAGCCTGCGCGAAGCGTTCGAAATGTGGTGTTATAGGCGGATGATGAGGATATCGTGGGTAGAAAAGATTAGAAATGAAGAGGTATTGGAAAGAATAGGAGAACAGAGGACTCTATGGAAGTCAATAAAAAATAGGCGAGATAGGTTGGTAGGACACCTTCT